TTAATGCTAATGTTTCGTATATATTAAACTAATTTAATCCTTCAGCTGGTTAAAAATAAAAAAGATATTTGGTTTAGGTAATTTTAAAATAAAGTTGGGTAAGGTAAATTTTTGAAGTAATTGCTTTGGATATTTTAATTTGGGAAAAATATTTTTTGATCAAAATTTTATCAAGATTTTTTGGTTAATTGTGAATGAAAAATGATTTATAATAATTTAAATAATAAAGCTAGAAAATATTTTTTTGTTAAATCTTTAAATAATTTTTAAAATCACAAAATAATTGTTTATATTTTTAACAAGCTTGAATTTTATTCTCTCATATGCAGTTAATATTTACATAGTCGATTCGTTCCATTTCTCCCAATACTCATCATCTTGATCTTCGGGCGTCTGAAACAAATTATTTGTTTGTGAAGCTCCTTGAAATTGATGTGGATATTCAGCGGCCTCATCAGAATCATTTTCTTTAACAGAATATTCTTCCTTATCTGTTTCTTCAAATTTTTTGTGCTTTTTAGTACTATAAGATAATTCCAGATCTTTCATACTTTCTTTTGTAACATTAATTGTATTTTTATTATTCGCAATTTGCCCCAAAAGCTTATCAAGATCCTCTTTTATGACATTTTTACTATAAAAATATAATCTATAGTATGTTAAATAATAATTGTTCTAAAAGATTTAATTTTTGAAAAGATTCAATTATATAACCACTTGTGACGAGATAATTTTATTTATAGAAAATAGAAATTTTAAAGAATTCTTTTTTATTGATTATTAATTCAAAAAATTATTTGAAAAATTCGAAGCGAATTATAATTATTTAAAATATTAGAAATGACAGTGATTTTTAAAATAAAAAATGTTTACGACGTATTGCTATGATGGTTGTAAACACAAATTCCATGTGCAGCCAAAACAAACTCGAGAACACGGTGTTGAATATTTACATATTTTTTGAGGTTATCCATAGACACTTCCCCATATTTATATAATGCAATTATTCCACAAATATATTCTTTCTAAAATATATTAGTTAAATAAAAATTCAGTTTTTATCAGAGTAACTCTAACAGAATAACTAAAAATGCCATTAAATTAAATTTGTTAATTTGCCTTTTATTTATAAACTTTTCTTTCTTAAAATTAATTACACTGGATGGACCCACGATCATTTTATTCCCCATTTACCTTATATTCCTCATTTTCAAAGCGATCAAACCATCGTTCTCCATCTAGATTTTTTAACATTTTTAAAGCATCTCTAAATTCTTTATTATTCTTCAGATAAAGTTTAATCAACGCTTTCTGTGTTTTTTGGCTTGGATAAATAGATTTATCCTTTTTAACATTACAATTATTTTTCTTTTTTAGATATTCCAAATTATCTTTAAGTTTATCGCTATATTTTTGCTTGGATTGCTTACTAGATGATGATCCTTCTCCTTTATGGCGAGAAGAACCACCCATAGAAATAAGACTCCAAAACAATGCATTAATGAATAAAATAATGAAAATAAAAATAATTTTCATCTTAAATTTTTGTTATAATTAAAATAAATAAATATTTTTTAAAAATATTTAATGATACAGCCGAGTTAAAAACACTTAATAGCTGCATAAAGAAGAATATGTGCTTAAGTAATTAGGAATAAATTTAAGAAATTAGTTTAAAGTCTAACAATCAACTATGTATCGCTGCATACACTCTGTCAGAAATCTATGAGCACCTCTATTGTAAACTAACAGATTAAAATTTAACTAATAATTATAAACTTATGTTTAAAGTCTGAAGGCATTTATCGATGTTTGTTTTATTGTTTCTTTATAAAATTTAATTTTATTTCTTGCCTATCCGCTAAAATTATCAAAGCAGCTATTAGTTAAAGCCTTTACTAGCTAAATGAATAAATAAATAGATAAAATATCCTTCTTAATTGCGCGACTGTCATGTATATTATTGATTTTATTTACTTTTAAATATATTAATTGAGAAATATTTTTAAAATTAATGTTTAGATTTTTGTTTTTAGGATGTTTATTTATAAATCTTCCAGAAATTTATTAAATATTAAAAATAAAATATTATAATTTTTTATTTAAAAAGAAACATTTTTATTGGAATAAAAGATATGTTGTAGTATATGGATTCGGTCTAACATTAATTTTGAAATTTTTTCTGATTTCGCTGTGGATAAAAATAAAAAAACAAACAAAAAACAAAAAATTCAAAAAAAAATATAAATGAAAGAAAAAAGGGATTGAAATAGAGTAGTTAACCCCTAGCCTTACTGTCAAACAGCCGTTTGACGGTAAGACTTTGAAGTAATTTAAAAGTAATTAATTTGTCAACTAAAATAGCCAACAACCCTTTGAACTTATTAAAAAGTAATTAAATAGCTAATTATCATAATTTAAATTAAATTACTAATTGTTTTACGAAAAATTGTGGCAAATAAAAAAAAATTATTTCAAGAAATTTAAAAAAACTTATTTTATAAAAATCAACTTGTTGCTTTATTTTAGTTCTCTATTTGTATTTTTGTCGCATTTCGAGTATAGGAAAAAGTGCTAAGTGAGATAATGTAAAGCATATAGCTATTAATTTCCTAAGGCTGAGCAGTAGGCGGCGTGGTGTAATGGCTAACACATCAGTCCGGTCTACTGAAGATGCTGGTTCGCTCCCAGCCGCCGAATAACCTTTTGCACTAGCTAAAGGAGAGAAATAGCTATAGCCCAGCTGCTTTACTGGTAGCACCGGATGGTTCAGCGAACGCTGAACGTATGACGATCCATCCCATAGGCCCTGGGTTAGAGAAAGGAAATTCCGCCAGAGAAGGCGATGATTTAGTTTACCCCGCAGGTGAGAGAAAAAGCGGGAAGAGGGCAGATAAGAAGACTAGGGACAGTCTTCCCTGGGGATGGAGGTGTAAAGCATATAGCTATTAATTTCCTAAGGCTGAGCAGTAGGCGGCGTGGTGTAATGGCTAACACATCAGTCCGGTCTACTGAAGATGCTAGTTCGCTCCCAGCCGCCGAATAACCTTTTGCTCTAGCTAAAGGAGAGAAATAGCTATAGCCCAGCTGCTTTACTATAATATCCTTTACCGCGCCTTATAAAAATAATAGGTCAAAAATTGTCAATTAAAATATATCTTTGTTAAATAAATTGTGCGAAAATGCTAAAAATAATTATTATTTCCGGCACAAATTTTAAAAAGAGGGAATGGAACTTGTATAAATGTGTATCTGAACAAATATAGCAGATAATGACTGCTACGACCATAACATTATAAGTCTTATAATCTGTGCCCATAAATCTATTTCTAATATATTAACTTTTTTGGAACAACCTGATGCAACACTATGCTGCCTTAGGTCTTCCTCCAAAACTTCCTGCATACTAGCCTGTTCTCCAATTATTGAACCAGCCACTTTTATTAATGCTGCCATTTGACGTATTCTTCGTTGAGCATATTCTGGAATATTGTTATCGTTTTCAAAATTTGAAGAAAATTGATTTAAATTGTTAAATTCTTGAAGAAATTTCTTTTTGTTGTTTTCACCGATTCTTGAATTGATTGGTGAAATATTGGCAGTAGCCTGATTGCGCTTATTACTGTTCATTTTTACCCAAATTAGAATAATTTGTCAAAATCAAATACCGGGCATATCAATTTTTGCAAATTCTAAAAAACAAAAACGGTTGAAGAACTCTGTGTTCAGCTCAACTATTTCTTTATGTTTTTTAGGATGTTGCCTATTAATTTATTTATTTATTTATTTATTTATAACGAACACCAAAAGGTACATACAAGCATGTACACTTACAATGGATAAAAAAAAACAATACAAATAAATGCGTTGGAAAGTTATAAAAACTTTAAAAAAAATAAATGATATTTGAAAAAAAATAAATGTGGATGAAAAAAAAATATATGTGATTTAAAAAAAATATATGTGATTATATTTAATGAAAAATAATGTTAAAAACCCTTAAAGACCAAAATCTACACAATTAGCTAATACTCTAAATTTTTTGGGATTTGCACACTCAATGACTTCTTTAGGTAATTTATTCCAAATGTTAATGACTCTAATGAAGAAATTATTTTTTGTCTTAAATGAGTAGCCCTTATTTTGAATTAGATATTTCCTGCGTAAATTTCTTTTCGCAAATATAAAAAATTTATCTGGTTTTAGATGGGTATGTCCGGTTATAAATTTATATGTCATACATAAGTCTGAAATACAGCGTCGCTCAGTTAGCTTCTTAAGCTTACATAATTTTAATCTTTCTTCATAGTTCCTAGGTGTAATTGAGCAAATTTTAAGGGCAATTCGTGTAAAGAATTTCTGGACTCTCTCTATTTGGTGGGAGGTTTCCGCTTTAGATGGATTCCATACTTCGGTTGCGTATTCTAGACAGGGCCTTACATATGTTTTGTAGCAAAATACAAGTTTATTTATATCTTTAGTTTTAATTACTCTAAATATCTGGTGTGTGAGGAAATAAGCATTTTTGATAATTTTTTCATAATGCTTGGAAAATGATAAACTAGAATCAATTATAATACCAAGATCCCGAACACTATCTACTTCACTCATTTGTTTTCCTAGTAACTTATATGTTCTTTTATGATTATTTTTTCCTATGTAGAGAACAACACATTTTTCTAGTGAAATATCTAAACCATTAAGAGAAGACCAGTGTTCAATACATGATAGAGCTTCAGATAGAACTTCGGTTCTTAAATCATTGTTATGATCAATATATAGTTTCACGTCATCGGCATAAATTTTTATATGTATACCTTCAGGTAAATATTTTGTTAAATCATTAATAAATATTAGAAAAAGTAGTGGTCCAAGGACACTTCCTTGTGGTACACCAGATAAGGTTGGATAGCTATCAGAGAGGGTATTCTCAATTTTAACTCTAAAGGTCCTGTTTTCTAGGAAATTCTTAATAAATGTATATATCTTCCCAGCTATACCGATTGATTTCAATTTATAAAGTATTCTGTTAATAGGTACTGAATCAAATGCTCTAGCGAAGTCAATATAGACAATATCAATAGATTTATTTTCCTGAATAGCATTGTAGAAATCATTTAACATTACTAATAATTGAGTAGAAGTTGATCTGTTAGTTAGAAATGCATATTGGTCATCCGAGAAATAAGATTTTTTATTCAAAAATTTTATTATTTCGATACTAATAAGTCTCTCTAGTACTCTACAAAGTGTGCATGTTAGAGATATAGGTCTATAGTTATTAGGATCTGATTTGTCACCTTTTTTGTGGATAGGTATAATTATAGATGTTCTCCATATTCTCGGAATATTTCCACTATCTAATATTATTCTGAATATTTCAGTTAGTACAGGGGCTAATTCGTCAGCTGAGTGCTTTAGTAATATATAAGGAATTCCATCCGGGGATGTAGAATTTTTGTTAGGAAGTTTCCTTAATAGGTCTCTAATCTGAATTACATCTAAGTCTAGATCATGTATTGAGTGTTCATTGTTTTCAGTTATAACTTCATCTTGCAAATCCTTGTGGCTAAAATTAGTTAGGAATGTCTTAGCTAGTATATTGGACTTTTCTAAGTTATCTTTGTATATTTTATCATTAGAATCTGTAAGAAATGTTATATAACCATTTTCACCTATTTTATTCTTGATAAACTTATGAATTGAATTATAGCCTTTCGATATGGCATTTTGCTCTTTCTTAAGATGATGTGATTGAATTTTTGTTTTTAATTGTTTTGAAATTATTTTATATTTCAATTTAATATCCATATTAGATGGGGTTTTCTTTAATTCATTGTAAGTTAAAAGTTTTCTATTATAAAGGTCTTTAATATCTCTAGAATACTTTTCTTTGATTATTTTGTTAATAGGTCTTAGTGGCATAACTTTATCAAAAACTCTTAGTAGGCATATTGTTAATTTAGAATATTTTTCTTCAATACTAAAGTAGTAGGGTAATATATAATCCCATTTTATACTAGACAGGTTTTTACTACATTCGTTCAGATTTTTCTTATTAATATTTCTTACTAAAACTTTACTTTGTTTTATTCTCTTGCATCTTTCATTTATACATACTTTGAACTTAACCATATTATGATCTGATGTAGAAAAATTCTCAATAACGTTGGTGCTAACTAAGTTATCAGGGAATGATAAAACTAAATCAAGTATAGCTTTCTCTCTTGTGGGCTTATTAACTTTCTGTATTGTATTAGTTTGGTTAATAAATTCGAGTAAGACCTTTCCAATCATATCAGAAGCAGTTAACTTATTCCAATCAACATTAGGGCTATTAAAATCTCCCAGAATAATATATCTCTTAGTATTGCTCAATAAATTGTAGATGTATTTTAATATTTTTTTTGTATTTTTAGCTGTACAATCAGGTGGCCTATATATACAAATAATTAAAATCGGTTGGACTGTGAGTAATTTAATACAGATAAGTTCACATTGAAATTTGCTACCTTGGAAAATACACCTAAATGTTAAATCATTACTTAATAAGATAGCGCAGCCTCCTCCCTTGCGTTTTTCGCGATTAGCAAATAAGGGTTGAAATTGATTATTGAAGCAGAAATCTTTATATATAGTATTGTTTTTATTGAGCCAGGTCTCGGTAATACAAGCTATGCCTATTTTATTTTTATCTAGAATGAGTTTCAATTCGTTGATTTTATTAATCATTGAGCGTGCATTAATCAATATTCCACTAAGTTCATTTTTAATTATTTTTTTACCTCTGGTGTTCGCGAGTCCCTATTGTGTAGTTTTGTTCTTTAGGGGACGGGGATTTTTAAGTTCTCTGATATGCAAATCAGATATAACATATTTATAAAGACCACACGAATTATTTAGTGAGTAGGCATGCCTACGTAATTGATACAAAAATTGTAGCTCAGGAGGACTAAGGTCACGGCGAGCAAATACATTGTTAGGAATTGTGGGAATGGTACGAGAAATGCTATGAAATTGTTGAATAAAATAGTTACGAGAAACATTATCTATAAAGGGTATTTTTATGAGCTGAGGCCTAGAAGAATTTGTTTGAGAATATTTAGTTTTATGCCGAAAAGGTGGGGTATTTTTGTCAAGTTTATCACCAAGATTACATTTACTTACAATTTCGTCAACAATTCGCTTGTCATCTTCCTCACTTATAAAAGGCATCCTTTCAACCACGGCTATTTTCGATTTTTTGTTGATTGTGTCAGGATTTTCTGCAGCATATGCCGCCATTTTCGAAAATAAATTGTTGTCTGTAATAAATGATGGAGGTTGACCCCAGAGTGGGCTATTTTGATTATGATTTTGATTATTTTTGTTGATTGTGTTAATATTGTTTAAATTATTGGAATTTTGCTTAAAAATTTCACTGACAGTTGTCTGAATAATTGTTTCAATTGATGGCTTTAATAATTCTGCAACCATCACAGCTATCTGCGATAGCTGCTCTGGTGATAAGTTTAAGTTTGGCACAATTGTATTGTCAGAAGAAGAGCTTTCCATTGAATTTGAACGAATACGTTTATTTAAATTGGGCATTATTGATTGATGGTTATTTTGTGAAAAAAGGATGGGAGCCGAATAACCTTTGCTCCGCCGAATAACCTTTTGCTCTAGCTAAAGGAGAGAAATAGCTATAGCCCAGCTGCTTTACTATAATATCCTTTACCGCGCCTTATAAAAATAATAGGTCAAAAATTGTCAATTAAAATATATCTTTGTTAAATAAATTGTGCGAAAATGCTAAAAATAATTATTATTTCCGGCACAAATTTTAAAAAGAGGGAATGGAACTTGTATAAATGTGTATCTGAACAAATATAGCAGATAATGACTGCTACGACCATAACATTATAAGTCTTATAATCTGTGCCCATAAATCTATTTCTAATATATTAACTTTTTTGGAACAACCTGATGCAACACTATGCTGCCTTAGGTCTTCCTCCAAAACTTCCTGCATACTAGCCTGTTCTCCAATTATTGAACCAGCCACTTTTATTAATGCTGCCATTTGACGTATTCTTCGTTGAGCATATTCTGGAATATTGTTATCGTTTTCAAAATTTGAAGAAAATTGATTTAAATTGTTAAATTCTTGAAGAAATTTCTTTTTGTTGTTTTCACCGATTCTTGAATTGATTGGTGAAATATTGGCAGTAGCCTGATTGCGCTTATTACTGTTCATTTTTACCCAAATTAGAATAATTTGTCAAAATCAAATACCGGGCATATCAATTTTTGCAAATTCTAAAAAACAAAAACGGTTGAAGAACTCTGTGTTCAGCTCAACTATTTCTTTATGTTTTTTAGGATGTTGCCTATTAAAAAAATTTATTTTTATTTTTTGGGATTTAACGTTAAGCACTGCTAAGCAATCAATCATTTTTGATTTTATTATTATATAAAATTTATTAATAGAGATAGAGATAATTTTTTGACAATAGTGGATGTAGACAAAAAAGAAAAATTGAGTGAAATTTATTTTTCAGTCAAGACATATAGGTTTTTTTTGTTTATTAGAGATCTGGCGAAAGAATGGGAAACAGAAACTGGGAAAGAACAGTGCTCAGTTTCAGCTCAACAACAATGCTCACTCGAGAAAGCGCAAAATGGACTAGATAAAGATCATCTTTACCCTTTTGAAAGTTTAGTCTCAACATACTGAACATAACTCGTTTTTCCGGCAAATATTCTTAAATGTCCTTAGATGCTTAATTCCTCCTTATTAACGGATTCTTAGTTGTGAAAAATTTGGAAATCGAAAACGTACAAAAATTCGTAAATAGTAAATCGAAAGAAAAACTTTCCATAATCGACAGCTCTGGTGTGATTTAAATTTCAGGATTATTTAATTAAATCCCATTGTTGTGACATTATAAGAATCGAAACCTCGTTGTTTTTTAAAATTTTTAAAAATAAAACAATGTTGTAACTAAATCTCGTTAAAGGTTGTTGATGTTGTTAACAATTGAAATTGTTAATAATTGTTAACAATTTATGTAATTAACACTTAATTTAACAATTAACAATAAAACAATGTTGTTAACACATCTACAACAATCATTCATCACGTTTTGACACATTGCCACGTAAATTTATCTTTTTTTATCTAACTCCACTATTTTCTAAAAATTATCTCTATCTCGATTAAGAATAGTGGATGTCAATAATAATTAATTGATTAATAAATTTTATTAAGTAAAGCCTTCACACTCTTGACAACCCCAATTTAAATTTATAGCCTTCACTTATTGTTTATTATTATGAATTTTTTTTTAATTTTCTAAAACAGACAAACACTCAAAAACTAATAATTATTTTATTATGTATATATTACATTTGATTTAAAATATTTAATTTAACCTTACTTTAAAAAATTTTCAGTCTATTTCCATAAAAACAATTTTGAAAATGGACATAAACACAATTTCTGTTATGTTATTTATATTTTTATTTATGAATTTTATTGAGAAGAATAATTGCATGTATGCTTCAAAAGGTCAAGGAAGTCGAGGTGGAGGTAGTGGAGTGGGATATAATGGCAAAGGGAAAGGACCAGAAGAAGGTAGATATTGGATTTACAGATAAATATTTTCCGCTATTTACTATCTGTATTAATTTCTAATTCTAGACAAAGTAGGCTAAAATAGTCAAGAAGCCTTGAAGGGCTCTATTAATAAAAAATAATTAAACTAAACTTAGGTATATCTCTATTGAGGGTATATCTCTCATTCAATGACCCCTCATAAATTAGAAATTATATTAATTAAAGCTCTTAGGCTAGAAAACTATTTACTGTCCCTCAAAAAATAATGTTTTGTTAAATTTTAATATTGTTGAAATACCTACATTTAAATAATTTTCGCTTTTGAATTAATTATACTTTAAAAGGAACAATGTCTCTACATGATCAGCAAGTTTTAGAAAAATTTGAGAGTAACAAACAAACGCGTCAAGAATTGAATGAGTTGTATGGAAAAAATTTCCTAGATACGAGAGAATTGTATAAAAATGCTGAACAGATAAAAGATTCACAATCACGCCAAGATTACGTGAATACATTACATGGATATACGCGAGATTTGCGTAAAACTTATGGAACTATTTTAGAGCTGAATGAAAAGCAAAAACAACTCAACGAAAAATTAGATAAAGCAAAGAAAAATGGAAATCATAAAGACATAAACCGCCAAATGTATCAACATTTATTAAGACAAGTCGAAGATAAAAAGCGTGCGCAACTCTCTAAAAGTCAGGCTATAATTGAGAATGAGGCATTAATTCAGCCGCATAATTTAGCTACTAATGTACATGGAAATTCTATATACGAGCTGAATCATTTTGGAGTTGGGTTATTTCATCAACCAGCTTACAACGATGTTCCATCAATTCATCCAAATCATGAAACTGGTTCGTATTTTGGAAATAATCATGGAAATAAGCAAAAAGGGTTGAAACACCCTTATGGAGATTATTCGACGCGTAATCATGGAGGCGGTCCTTCACATCATTAGAATGATGATGAGAGTAAGAACCGTGAATGAATGTTTGACCAAAAAATTCGATTTTAAACACAGTTATTATTAAGGCTGTGATAGTTAGGCATGTAAAATTAGTGAAATAGGCGCCTAAAATAGGCACCAAAAAGCCAAAAAAGGCACAAAAATAGGCATGTAAAAAAGGTTATCAGACCATAAAATGGAGATAAAAACAAAAAAATAACCATTTAATCGTCATTTTTTAAATTATAAACTATTTATTAAACAATTTTACCAGTTATTCGTCATTTTGAATCATTTTTTGAAAAAAATGGGGTAAATTTTTTTAAAATGTCGATAATTGACAAAATGGAAATCTCGCCCAACACACAAAACGCCGTACCCCAAAACGTCCCAAAACCAAATCGTCCCAGTTCAAAATGTCCAACAGAGTAAAAATATACAATTTATCAAACTAAAAATCAATAATGGGACTTGGCACTGATTTTTTCTAATTTGGGACTGATTTTTTTAGATTTTGCACTGATTTTTAGGCAAAATTTCGAAAAAATCGCTAAAAAAAGGCAAAAATAGTACCAAAAATTTCAAAATAGGCAAGAAGGCACAAAAAGTCCAAAATAGGCAGAAATAGGCAAATTAAAAGTCATGCTAGACTCTTCGGACCAAGCTAAAAACACGTTTTTTGAACGTATTACATCATCCCAAGCTTGCAGAAAAAATAGGCATTTGCCTATAAATCACAGCCTTAGTTATTATTTATGTATATAACAACACTCTCTTCCCGCTCCGACATACATATGTACAAACAATTTAGCAGAGTTAAATTCAGATAAATAATTTTATTTTAGATTATGATTATATCCGTCATGTTTAACTCTGCCAACTTATTTTATTAGTTTTGAATATAAACTAACAATTTTGAGAATATTTCTCACTTTCCAACATGTAGTTATTTTCTATTTTTTAAAGAATCTAAAGCAAATTCTATTTTATTATTTTTAAAGAATGTAGATTTTAGTTTTATTTCGATAAAGCATTTCATTTTTTTTTGTATTATTTCATTCTTTTCCTAAGTACCCAATTTCCTTTTCCTAATTCTGAATTGGATGTCGAAGGCCATTGAAAGAATAAGCGGGATACTTCTTTTCTTTTAATTAAATAAGGCTCCTCGACATAAAGGAGAGGGGTCGTCTTCAAAAAGCATAAAGGAGAAGGCTCGTCTACAAACCATTGTTGTTAATGGATACGGATAATATTCGGATATCCACGGATATTCTATGTCACTCAATATTCTCGATTTTACTAGTAAGATACAAAATCTCTTAATGGGTAAAATTTTCTGAAAATAGTGGTGTTCGACAATAAAGATAAAATTTAGTGAAATTTATTTTATGTAATAAAGCTAGAACATTTTTTTTTGTTAAATAATTTATAAAATCACTAAATAATTGTTTTATTCTTAATTAGAGGTCGGCAAAATCGCACTTCCGGGATCCCGAGTCGGGATTTTTTCTTAACCAAGGCCGGGACGGGATCCCGGGGGATAAATCCCGAAAAAATCCCGAATTTCAAAAATCCCGAAAATAATTATCCGGGATCCCGCCCGGGATTCGGGATTTTTTAAAAAATAAAAAATTTCAAATTTTTATAAATAAAGTGCATCAAAATACTGCAATTTATATGTAAATAATATTAAATTTGTAAAAATCTAATAGATCTAGAGGGATATCGGTGGATTAATGACTAGGTCCCTTGAAAAAATCTCACTATATACTAATCCATCCACTTTACCTCCGATAATACCTCCAAATTTCTCCGTTTACAGCGCCGCAAGCGAACATTTTGAGAATTTTGGAGCACATGAAGCCAGATTTCTTCCATTTTCAGCGCCGCAGGCGAAAATTTTAAAAATTTCGAAGATCTGGGCTAAACTAATTCACTTTTTCAGCGCCGCAGGCAAAAATTTTGAGAATCACTAGAGTAAGACATGCATGGGATATGCTAATTTAAAAATCCCGAAAATTATAAAATATTGTCCGGGATCCCGAGTCGGGATTTTGTTTTTTAACCGATGCCGGGACGGGATCCCGAGGGATAAATCCCGAAAAAATATCGGATCCCGAATGATCACGAAAATCAAAAAAATCCGGGATTTCGGGAGCGGGATCCCGGTAAATCCCGTCGGGATCCCGTCCCGCGCCGACCTCTATTCTTAATAATCTTGAATTTTGTTCTCTCATAATTAATATTTACATAGTCGATTCATTCCATTTCTCCCAATAATCATCTTCCTGATCTTCGGATGTCTGAAACAAATTATTTGGTTGTGAAGGTGGTTGGAATTGATGTGGATATTCATCGACCTCTTCAAAATCTTTTTTTGTGTCAGAATATTTTTCTTCATCTGTTTTTTCAGAATTCTTTGACTTTTTAGTAGTATTAAATAATTCCAGATCTTTAATGGTTTCCTTTGTCACTTTAATTGTGTCTTTATTATTCTCTATTTTCTCTAAAAGCTTATCAAGATCCTTTTCTGCAACATTTTTGCTATAAAAAATATAATTTATAAAGTTCTATTTTAAAAGATTTAATTCTTGAAAAGATTCGCTTATATGTTTCGCTTATTATTTTTCGCTTATTAAAAAATTCGCTTATTATTCGCTTATAAAGAAGACAAAAGAGTAACCTGGCACTTTCTTTATGGCGTGCCTATTGTTTGGGTTCTGCCACTTTTTTTAAAGTGAACAGTCATGGCTACTAGACTAAATACTTTTAGAAAAAATTTTCCTGGAAAATTTCTTACATGAATTTTTTTTATTTTTTAGACAGTGCTTTTTTTGAATATTGAGAAGAGATGAAATTTTGTGAACGTCAAATCTAATAGAAAAGGGTTCGATAATGCAACCGGGCTTATATGCCCTGAAAGAGAATTGTTTGGGCTACAAAATGTGTATAAAATTATCAGAAAAGTTTAATAAGAAAAAAAGTTATGATAAAATGAAAAGTGCCCGGTTAATTTTTTGTCACCCTGAATTTCCACTTGTGAGGAGGTAATTTTATTTACAGAAAAATTGTTTGTCTTGGTTATTATTTTTTTAATTTATTAATTTTTACTTTTATCCTACATATACATAATTATTTAATATGTTAGAAATGACAGTTATTTTTTAAATAGAATATGTTTACGATGTATTGCTATGTTTGTTGTAAACACAAATTCCATGTGCAGCCAAAACAAACTTGATAAAATGGTGTTGAATATTTAAATATTTGTTAAGGTTATTCATAGACACTTCCCCATATTTATATAATGCAATTATTCCACGAATATATTCTTTCTAAAATTAAATTAAATAATAACTCGTTTATTATCAGAGAAAACACCAAAAGAATAACTCAAAAAATGCCAATAAAATTAAATTTGTGAATTTGCCTTTTAATTATAAATTTCCTTTTTTATGATTAACTACACTGGACAGATCCCGATCATTTTATTCATATTTACCGTATTTCCTAAAATAAAGCCCCATGGGGCTTATTTTTCAACTATCCTCCAAAGTGGGGCTCTATTTTAGGGTGGGGCTCTAATTTAGCATGGGGCTCTATATTTCAACCTATTTTTCAAATTACAAAAATGAAGAATAGATTCTTTTTATTTATGGAATTTAGGAAAAATTTCCGATTTTCAATAATTTTTGCAGACTAAGATTTTGTTAATCTTTCCAAAAGTTCGCCTGCGGGTTGAAAATAAAGAAATCTGACTCATTGGCCTTCCAAGTTCTCAAAAATTTCACCCTAAAATACCCTAATGTTCAATAATACTTTATTCCATCAAATCCCTTTATCCCCCTAGACTCTTAATAAATAATAGTAAAGCGGTTGGTCCCGTTTCCCAATGCCTTCTAAATGGGGTTGTCGGATTGGATTAGAAGGAGGTGGGGGAGGGTTGTTGGATTGTAATGGGGTTGTTGGACAATCGCTGGATATAGGGAGTTTAGGATCGGGAGACGTCTTCCCTCCGAATCATTCACTAGGACTGACTGACATTTTTCGGAATGATTACTCGCCCAAATATTACAATATCACTTTTAATCCCTTTAAATTTGCCTCATTCAATATCACACACTTAAATTCCTTCACCGGCTTTTCTCAGAATGGCAGTTTGTGCTAAACTTCGAATTGCTCTGGGCACTTCCGTTATTTAGCGCTTTAGAGCGCAATTATTCTTCAAGTGATTTCAGGTGGTCTTGGCCTTACAATATTAAGGAAGGTCCCTTAATCAAAATGGCTCCCCCAACTTTCTTAATTTTAATCTCTAGATATACTGGACGGACTACACTGGACGGATCCCGATCATTTTATTCATATTTACCTTATATTCCTCATCTTCGAAGCGATTAAGCAATCGTTTTATTTTTAGATTTTTTGTCATTTTTAAAGCATCTCTGAATTTTTCATTTTTCTTCACATAATCCTCAATCAAATCTTTCTGTGTATCTTCACTTGGATAGACTTCTTTCATCTTTTTACCAGTACATTTATTTTTCTTTTTTAGATCAGCCAAATTATTTTTGTATATATCACTAAATATTTGTCTCATTTGCCTTCTAGTAGAAGACGACCCTTCTCCTTTATTTCGAGAAGAACCACCCATAGAAATAAAACTCCAAAACAATGCATTAACGAATAAAATAATTAAAATAAAAATAATTTTCATCGGAAATTTTTATAAGATTTTTGGGAATACTTTAGAATATTTGGTCAGATGACAAAACTATTATACCAGTCGATTTATTCAAATTTTCTCAGCAAATTATTAGAGGAGAAAACTCGAAAGTTTATAGGCTCATGAAAATTGGACAAACTTTATTTCCCTTCTAGCCGGAAAATTTGTAGCTATTAAAATGTTCTATTTAAAAAACTAATTTTGAAGTTTTATTGACTGATTTTAATTTTAGTAGCTCTAGAAATCGCGAGTTATAAACAGTGCTTATAAATTTCAATTTTGCTCGTAGTCCTACTGGTATTTCATAACGCCTGTTTATTTTTATTTTTTGGGGATTCTTGATTTTACTATTGGTATAAAATTTCATAATTTGGATAGAGATAAAATTTTTTGAAAATAGTGGATGTAGACAAAAAAGAAAAAAGTGGGTAGTACATATTTGTTTTTTAAGACTTGTCAACTAATTATTATGTAACTCTATGTCGGAGCAGTTCAACTGAGTCCCGGCTCAATTGAGTCCCGGCCCTATAACTCAAGTACGGGTTGATAATTTTTAATGTTTTTGGTATCATTGGATAGAGAATTAAAAGCTCTATAATATTTCAAAAAATCAGAATTTTTGACCGATTGATAAAAAAGTAATGATTTAAAAACAAACTTTTTCAAAAAAATCTGATTTTTCGGCACTTTATCGATTATAACTTTTTTACCAGTCGGTCAAGAATTTTGATTTTTTGGTATATTGTAGCCTATTTAATGCCCTATCTAATGGTACCAAGAGTAACAAAAAGTGACCGTCCCTTCATAAGTTATAGGGTCAGGGACTCAATTGAGTCGGGACTCAATTGAGGTGTACCGACTCTGTATTAATAGCCATCTACAGGTTAAAAATGAGAATAAATTCCTAGCTTTTTTGTCTATCTCCAGCACTTTCGAAAAATTTTCATATTTCAATAGTAAAATTGAATTGAAGTAGTTCCTATCCAATTTTCCTATCCAAAGATTTTTTTCTTGTTAAAAAATATTTAAAAAATTTACAAAGTTACAATATTTAGTAAAATCTATCTTGTAATAATATTAGCAAATACTGGAAAATTTTCAAATTTTGTGTGTTTTTTAAGAAAATAAGATGGAAATTTTCCTCTTGTGTTTAATCGAAGATTTGTTGCTTGAACAATTCCATCTTGATTAACTGGGCCTGACACAACTGTAAAGAACATTAGGATTAAAGCTCGGACCGTACCGTACTACGGCCGTATTTTTCGGTATTTATCGGTATTCCGTATCGGTAATACGGTACGGTAAAATTTTAAAGTTGATCGGTATTTTTCGGTATCGGTATTTTTCGGTATTCCGTACCGTTCTACGGTACGGCAAAAACTAAAATACCGATAATACCGACCGATAAAAATTTTAAATTATTATCTTATTTTAAGGGAAAATATTCTTCTTATCCTTTGATAATTTTCAAAATTTTCGCCTGCGGCGCTAAAAATAGAAGAAATTAACCTCCTTGGACTTCAAAATTTTTATAATTTTCGCCTGCGGCGCTGAAAATATTGTTTTAAATGAAGGGTATAGAGGAAATAGTAGTAATTAAGAATGGATTTAGGGGATTAACAGAGGTATCTAAGGATTTGTAATGATTAAGTGGATTTGTGGGGATTAAGTGGATTTAATAGGGCCTAAGTACAAGTCTAGAGATTAAGAGAATCTGGATCAGTGCTGGACGCAACTGAAAAAGATTCCGTAGCTGCAGTCCGCAATTGCGTCCAGCCCTGATCTGGATTGGGGATAGAGGATTTGAGGGTAATTTGGTATTAAGAATATTTGTGGGTAAATCCCCTTAGTTCTTTAAATCCACTTATATTCTCAATAATCATCCTATCCCGAATCCTCCTTAATCACTAGAAATCAAAAGAATATTTTCTTCAATCCCTGGCTATCATTAAAATCCACTTAATCCCAACTAAACCACCGATATCCCTCTAAATCTTCAGATATCCCTTCAAATCATTTTAATAATTTAAATCTAAGATATATTCTTTGTCTCTAAAGATTTATATATAAATATAATTATTGTTTAACAAATTACGTAATTTTTTTAAATACGGTACGGAATACCGATAAATTTTTATAGGTATTTTTCGGTATTCCGTACCGTTTTACGGAACGGTAAAATTCTGAAACACGGTACGGAATACGGAAAAGAATATGGCCGGAAATACGGTACGGAATACGGTACGGTACGAAATTCCGCGCTCTAATTAGGATAAAATAAATTTTAAATTAGATCAGATTTAAGTGCCATCTTTAGAATTGAGTAGTGTAACAGGAGGGACAAATTTTATCAATTTTTGATAATTTAGTTGGATTCGAGAAAACCATTAATTTAAACAAATTCATCCATTATTTGCAACGCAAGGCCAAAATGTGACTAATTAACGCAAAACTCAAGACCGCAACGCAAGGCCAAAATTTGACGCAAATAACGCAATGAGCCTACCCCTATTCAACACGTTAGGTCAAATGACACTGAAGTTTAAGTTTTAATTATAACCTACCTATTAAGTCTCCCTTTTCAGCCAAAAGCTCCGGTGGGTTACCTTAATACAATATTTTTAGGGAGCTGCCAAATTACCGCGAGGTCAATGTACTCCAGGGCTATAACTTCGTTCAAAATTATTTTATCCATGATGCCCTGGTATGTTTCGCTTTAGATTGTTGAGGTACATTGAACCTTGCCATGGTGTCTCGTATTCAATAATTTTGAATGTGTTTATAGCTCAGGGGTACATTGGCCCCACGATACTTCTGTGTGCACTACATTTTACTAGAAAATTAAAAACAAATTATAATTCTAAAGGGATTAAAATACTAGGTGAAATATTTAATAGTAAGACGAATGCTAGGCAATTTATCTCTTTATCCTTAATAATTTACGTTATACCGTGTTTCGGTTTATATTCAGTAGTAGCCTCCATAGTAACCTCCATAGAGGAATCTTTTTCATTTTGCAAATAGAATTGTGAATAAAGATAGTCAAGGGAATGTAACTTTTCGCTTGCATCGCCTTGGAGTGCATGCATAAGTTCATAAGTCATTAAACAAGTCTATTTAATTAGTAATAATTAGAGACCGGATTTTTATGCAAATGCATATTTTTTTTGCAAAGTTGTCATGATGTATAATGCACAAAAAACACTGTTTCCGCATGTTTTGAAAACATTAGAGGGGGTTTCTATTTGCATATAATGCATATTTTTGCATATTCCGGACTTTGCTGCATAAATGCATATTTTACTGCATATTTTGAGGTTTTTGAGGAAAATAACTCGAAAATTGCCCAAAATCCTGCCAAAAATTGAAAATTTAGTAAAAATTTAGGAAAAAATTTGTAAAAAATACAAATTTTGTAAAAAAATTTTTTTTTGTTTTTGGGCAAGACCCAAAAATGTCCCACTCCAAAATGTCCCACCACCAAAACGTCTCATCTCAAAATGTCCAATAGATTAAAAATACTCAATTTGTCGAACTATACATTTAAAATGGGAGTAATTTTAATAAAAATAGGTGTTTTAATGTTTTTGATTCAAAAAAATTAAAAATTCTAGGTAAAAATTGTATTTTTGATGCATAATTTCATGAATATTTTGGTTTATTTGCATATTTTTGTGCATATTTTGTCAATTTTTTATGCATATTATAGTGCATATTTTGGATTTTTTAATGCATAAATATCCGGTCTCTAGTAATAATTTTTTTTAATAACATCTTATATACGATTAACTTACATGGCTACTTAATGTACAAACTAAAAATTGGCATTTAGCAAGTATACGATACACGGCCATTATTTCAATAAAAGATTCTTTCGAGAAATCTAATTTAAATTTTAAAAATTAAAAATTGTTTAATGGGTATTGTGAGGGAGCGGTGTAATGACGAAAAGAGATAGTCCGGCTGGCTTTGAGATAGAATTAACTGCTAGACCCTTGTTAGCTAAAACGTACATTGTGTTTTATTAAATATTTTTGCATGATAAATTTCATATTTATTTCCCAGTTTATTTTTAACTTCATTAACTACATCTTTAACTACAGCAGTATCTGATGCAACAAATAACATCCGTTTATTAGTACAATTATTCGAAGAATTTGAATGGTTATTTTGATAATTTCTTTCATTAACATCAAACCAAAAGTCAACCAATTTCTAAAAATAAATTAATAGCCTTTTAGCATAGGGTCAGTCACCGATCCACAATTGTTCATTTACCAACATTCACATTCCCATATAAGTTCTCCAAGGTAGGTTGGAAACAGCAATTACCGGATGTAGGGAGTGATCAATGTGTATAAGCGGTTTGGTTGTGGGGTCTTTTTAATTTCGCCGTGACTAATTATAAATTCATGGTACTTTGTCTGGTAACAGTTAGAAGTTGGTCTGATACCCCATAAAGGTCTCCACCAAGTTTTCCAAATCAGGGTTAAAATATGGTACACACGGATCTCATTATCCTCCGTAAACGTCCAAGTCGTGTGTGCTGGGAATCCTTTATGGATCGGTGACCGATCCTACCTTAACTATTTAAAATAAATATTCAAACATTCTTCTAACCAAATAATCTTCTAGTTTTTGCAGTTTAGCTTCTCTGTACTTGTCTGTTCTCCTAACATGTATACCAACAACTGGGCCTATAAAAATTTAATTTTTTTAAATAAAAAATTAAAAATACAACAATTCTAGTCTTATAAATTAACAAATTAATTTATTTTACCACATTCGAATGGAATTTTTGAAACAATTTGATTTGTTATATTTATTGTTCTTTCAGTTTCTCTCCAGATATATTTCAATAACTAAAAATTAAATACTTTTAATGGAAATTTAATTTTTAATTTAATTCACAATCAGTTGGCCCTATA